TGCCGTGAGTAACTTTTATGAAAGTTTGAACTTAATGAATCTATTCCAACTTATTTTGCATAGGAATATAGTAATTTAATTGGGATAGATAATTTATTTAACTATTGGAAGAGGTTTGATAAATAATTTTGAGTTCTCAGTTAACAACTTATTTTGATCAATTGATTGAAAAGAGAGTAGAAAGATTTATACGAAGCATTAGGGGAAGTTGTAATCTTAACTTCTTTCATCTGGTAAATTGAACCCTTGATTGTTAAGTTTAGATTTAGTTTTAATTTAGTCATTCCATAGTTCAATTCCAATTGTTTAAATAAAATTGAATTGATATAAAGTTAGTACTTGGATATTATTAGCAATAATTCTCCGTGGGAATGATACTCTACTTATCACTTTATTACTTGTTGATCGTGTATACTTGCACGTAAATTGTCAATATCAAATTCGGACAACAGAAGTTTTTAAGGAATTCAAAAATCTTATTGAGAAATAAAGTGGCTATTTTATCAACAGGTTGAGATTCGATCAAGGTGGTGAGTATAGTTCTGATTTATTTGAGGACTATTGCAAGGAGCATGGAATTGTGCATCAATTCACTCCAAGCTACACGCCTCAATTGAATGGAGTTGCGGAAAGAAAAAATAGGACTATTCTTAATATGGCTAGAAGCATGTTGAAAGGAAAGACATTGCCTAGAGAATTTTGGGCTGAAGTCGTAGCATGTGCAGTGTACTTGTTGAATCGATGTCCAACCAAAAGTGTTCATTTCAAGACCCCGAAGCAAGCTTGGTGTTCATTCAAGCCAAGTGTAGCTCATCTCAGAGTTTTTGGATGCATTGCTTATGCAAAGATTCCTGAAGCTAGGAGGACAAAACTTGATGATAAAGGTGAAAAGTGCATTTTTCTTGGATATGGTGATAGAACAATGGGGTACAAGTTATACAACCCCATTACCAAGAAAGTAATTATGACTAGAGATGTAATCTTTGAAGAGGAAGACATGTTAGATTGGAAAGAAAATATTTTAGCCATCGAAGTGGAACTTATGCTTGAAGAAGAAGAGTCTGAAGAACCAAAGGAAGTCCAAAGAGAGCCACAAACACCTCCACGTGGATCCCCAACATCTTCTACAGGTGAACCATCATCATCATCATCATCATCTTAATCATCGAATTCAAGTTCAAGTGAAAGACCAAGAAAAATGAGAAGTTTGCAAGAGATTTATGAATTTACGAAAAATTTTGAAGGTAACTTGAATTTGTTTTGTTTGTTCATGGATTGTGATCCTTTATGTTTTGAAGAAGCGGTTCAAGAAGAGAAATGGAGAATAGCAAAGGATGAAGAAATGAAGGCAATTGAAAAGAATAATACATGGGCACTAGTTAGTCTTTCCCAAAGTCATAAAGCAATTGGTGTGAAGTGGGTATATAAAACCAAGAAGGATGCAAATGGTGAAGTCCAAATATACAAGGCAAGGTTGGTTGCTAAAGGCTACAAGCAAAGGGCTGGAATTGATTATGCGAGGTATTTGCTCCCGTTGTTCATTTGGAAACGATTAGGTTGATGATTTCTTTGGCGACACAAAACAAGTGGAAGATTTACCAACTTGATGTGAAACCAGCATTCTTGAAGGGATTTCTTGAGGAGGAGATTTATGTTGAACAACTTTTAGGGTATGTGAAAAAGAAACAAGAAGATAAAGTGTACAAGTTGAAAAAAGCTCTCTATGGATTAAAGCAAGCACCGCGCGCATGGAATGCTAGAATTGACAAATATTTTCGTGAGAATGGTTTTCAAAAGTGTCCTTATGAGCATGCATTATATATGAAGATGGATGGCAATGGAAGTGTGCTACTTGTTTGCCTTTATGTTGATGACTTGATCTTCATCAGCAATGATCCAATGATGTTTTGTGAATTCAAGAGAAGTATGATTAAAGAGTTTGAAATGACTGATATTGGCTTAATGTCTCATTTTCTTGACATTGAGGTTAAGCAAAGTGAAGATGGAATTTTTATTTCTCAAAGTGGTTAAGAAGTTCAAGATGGATTCTTGCAACCTGGTGAAGACACCTGTAGAAATTGGTTTGGAATTGAAGAAGAGCATTAGAAGTGGAAATGTTGATCCAACTTACTTTAAAAGTTTAGTTGGAAGTCTTTGGTACCTTGCACAAGGCCGGACATTCTTTATGGAGTTGGTTTGGTTAGTAGATATATGGAAACACCGAATCAAACTCATCTTTATACGGAAAAGAGGATTTTACGTTTTATTAGAGGTACACTCAATGATGGCTTATTTTATTCTTGCACTAATGATTTTAGACTTGTTGGATATTTTGATAGTAATTGGGGACGAGACTTGGATGAAAGAAAAAGTACCTCGGGTTATTGTTTTTTCATGGGAGATATAGTTTTTACTTGGTCATCCAAGAAGCAAGCAATTGTTACTTTGTCTACGTGTGAAGCGGAGTATGTGGCTGCAAATTCAACAATATGTCGTGCTATTTGGTTCAGGAATTTGTTGAATTATTTGAGATTTTCTCAAGAAATTCCCACAGAGATCCTTGTTGATAATAGATCGGCAATGGCGTTGGCAAAAAACCCGGTGTTCCATGAGAGGAGTAAACACATTGATACACGCTACCATTTTATTAGAGAGCATGTGCAAAATGGAGAAGTGAAGTTGGTGCATTGCAAGACTCAAGATCAAGTTGCCGACATTTTACAAATCCATTAAAGCATGATGTGTTTGGAAAATGAAAAATGATGCTAGGCATGAGAACTAAAGGAATTGAGTTTAAGGGGGGATGTTAGTTTTTTTATAAACTCAATTCTTAAAGGGTAGTTTTTGTATTTTTGGGTTTATGATAAGTCATGGTATTTGAAGAGATGGTCACTAGAAGTATCCATAATATTTTGGGAGTCTTGTTCATGCATGGCTACATGGGAATTCAAACAGTTTTTTCTTGGAGGCAGCAGGCCATTAAGTGGCCAGATTCAAGGTGATTTGGCTAGGAAAAATTAGTATAAAAGGGGCTGGCGTTACTGCCCAAAACAGAGAGTGTATCTGCAGAAAAAAAACAGAGAGTAAGACATTAAAAAATCTGTTTTGCTTCCAGAAAAAACGCAGCAGAATGTTTATGAGCAAAAGCTCTATTCTTTTGTATTTCTTGAGTGCTTGTTGCTGAAAAATTCAAATTAGCTTTCCCTCTTGTATTCCTAGATATTGTGATCATCTTTTATGAAAATATAGATGTGTTTCTTGAGTGAAATAAGTGTGGATATATAGCAGATTTTTATCCTCTGTTTTTGTGTTCTTTTGGTGATCCATTTTGCTTCCAATACCCAACATTGGGTTCCATGCCGAGGTATCTGTATGGCACACTGCTACTGCTTTAGCTTTGATCCCATCAGCCCCCTTCAAGGAAATAAAATACGCTTTGGTGGTGTGCGTTTTGTGACAACAAAATACTGCATACGCTCTGTTTGTGACAAAAAACTACTACTCGACCTGCCATCTTTCTCACCCCTACAGATAGGGTTGTCGATTAGTCGTGTCATATTGTGTTTCTATACCAAATAAGGTATGTCATGTCAAAATTTTCTTAACTTATATTCGACTTATTTATAATTATTTGGACAGATTACACTTTAACCCCCTCAACTATGATTTTTTATTTTTCACATTAATTACCCCATCAACTGCCATATTTCTCACAATACACCTTTAATTATGTCGTTAGTTTCACACATTTTCCAATAATTAATGTTTGTTACAAATATGATGAAAAAATATCTCCCCACCCCCAACCCAGAACTGTGTTTTTTTTTCATGTTGCCTCTAACATGTTGTCAATTTTTGTCCAAAGGACATTTGGGTTAGGGGCAACATAAAATCAATTCCAATAGTCAAGGGATTGAAGGATTGAAATTGAGTTCATAGTTGAAGGGAGTTAAAGTGTGATTTGTCCAAATTATTTGACGTTCGGTTGTGTTCTTCTCTTGTACTTGTGTATAAGCCACATTTAGTCGGGTTCGTATGTAACACTGCGAACCCTACCTGTAATGCTATACTTTTGCAATTGAGTTTCTCTTCCACCACTGTGGACATTGCTTCAACTCTTTTCCCAGCTTGGAAGTACTGAAATCTACCATTGCCTCTATCGAGTAGCACAATATTGTTCCTCCCCTTTGATGCCAGGTTCCTCACACTGCTTTATGGTTTTCTTCATTGCTTTAGTTTCCATTGAATTGGGTGAGACCGAGAATTTGTTCAGAATTTCAGGCATTTTTTCGGATGCAAAAGGGATCGATTCAGCGACCAGGTGAGGCAAGAAGACGGATTTTCTTCTCGTTTTAATGAAGTGCAAGTTCGTCTTTGTGCCTTTGTGCATATTCTTCTCCAAAAAGAAAAGAGCAACATTTGGGTTATCATGGAGTTGGTCCTTAGTAGCAGCATATACGTACGCAAAAGCCACCTTGAGACTCGTCCCTAAGTCTACAGCATCCTTCCTCACCACAACAGAAGTGCTTTTGTCTTCCAACACTTCTGCAAAATGCAAACCATCAGTAATCAATAATTTTGTAGGTTTCCAATATGTTGTTCTGAGACACTGTTGTGTTTTTAAACCGTGCAAATAGTGTTGTTACATCTTTAATATATCTCATACACAATATATTTACATAAATTTTTAGTTAATTTTGTGTCATGTACAGTAGGTTGGAGTCTGAATAAAGACTTAAAGTTGTATCCGCTGATTTCACTTTGAATCATGTTAAGAACTTCAACATTGGTATTTACGGGTGTGCATAGGTTTGATTATTTATGGGTCTCGTTATTCAGTTTGAAAAATAGGTCTAAAACTCAATAGATCCGATAGTTGGCCCACTTGAGTCCGAGCTTAATATCGTTAAAAAAATAGGTTTGGATTTTCCCCCAAATCCATTACTCGGCCCGAAGTCTGACCCAATAGCTCGCCCAAAAAGACCCCATTAATGCATGGCCTAAGAGTCCGTCCGCCCGCCCGCCCGCCTTTTCTTTTGAAAAAAATTATACTTTTAGATCATTAAATTTTAAATTTTGAAATAAGTTTCCTAATGTCGAAATTTGAGATTTTAAAAATTTAAATACTATAAATAATGTATTTGTTTCCATATATTAAGCATACAAGTTTTAAAGAGTAGAGTAATGCAAACGATAGATAAGTGAGGAGGTATTAATCTAGTTGAAATGTATTTATTTTATTAGATATAGTTCATCTCCTAATCAAAAATAAAATTATTCATTATTTTATTTTTATTCATTTTGACTCTACTTTTGATTCAAAAATATAATTTATACAAACATTAAGTTACAAAAATATTCATTATTTTTAAGTGAAAATTGGGGCTGAGTCTTCCGAGATTGGCTTATAATGACTTAAGTCCGTCAAGAAAACTTATTTGAGGGTAAGTCCGTTTTTAATCTTATTAGTAAAAATTTAAGTCCACTTTTTTTTGTAATCTAAAAAATACGCTTAATAGTGTTATTTGGTCAATTATGGAAAATTGAAAATATTATCTACAAGGAGTTATATATGGAGGTTATGATTGAATATATAAATGCTTGATTTGTGATGATAATTATCAATTACAAGCTTTCCATAATACTTCAAATTTAAATTTTTAGTCGTTATTTTGTTTGTTATATATTTAAATAATTGACTTTCGAGATTTGAGGCTAATTTGAAGTGGATGAATGTTGAACTGGAGTACGAGCTTGAGATTTTGAAAATGTAACATGGGCAGTGCACGCCAAATACTAGATGTTAGCATATTAACATCAATTCGGTAACATCAATTTTAAAACGTAATTTACTAACACATATCACTATTTTTTATGTTACTATTTTTCATTGAGCATGCATGTTATTACTTTTTCAATATTACTTTTTTGGATGCTTAAGAATTGCAAGTTTCTTCCTCTGGTTATGAGTTTGAATGCTACTATGTTTATTTTCTATTTTGTTCAATATTCTAAATTGCTATTTTTTTGTTGAGCATGTTATTATTTTTGTTAAGTATGTTATTTTTTTTGTTGAACATGTTACTATTGTTATTTTTTTAAATATTAATATTAAATGTTATTATTTTTTTTATTTTTAAATGTTATTATATTTTGTATTTAAATGGTATTATTTTTTGTGTTTAAATGATACTTTATTTTTTTATATTTGAATGTTACTATTTTTTATTTTTAAAGTTACTCTGTGTGTGTGTGTGTGTGTGTATATATATATATTTAGTGCTAACATGTATATGAATATAGATAGATATTAGAGAGAATATTTTTTAATATTAGTTAGACTTCTAAAATTTATGAATTTTTAATTTTTAGTTTTACTTTACTTTTAAAGAAAATAGATAGTTTAGTAAAATTGAGAAAAAACGGATTTCATAACAAATAAGTCCATATAAGGGGACCAACCTCAAAATTTTTTTATTTTTAAATGAAGTTGTATATAAAAAAAAATGTGAGCAAGCCCCATCCAATAGGCTAGCGGGTTTGACTGCGGATAGAAACTTAAGCATACACCTTCCTATTACGGCCCGTAAAACATTTTAGGGCCTAACCTGTGGACACCCTTATTGGTACTAAGAAGTAATTGTCTTTGAACACGTAAACATTATTTGAGAGACTTTGGCTTGTAACTCTTCCACTTTACATCTGTATCATGCACTTGATGGAAGAAGATTTTTCATGCCTTTATTAACTTGCTAATTTTCAGTTTTGAAAACACGTAAATCTGATTTTCCTGTTTTGTTATTCTAAACATTGTCATATATGTATAGTCTTGTTATTATAGAGGTGTCAAAATGAGGGAACTTTTGCCAACATTTTTCAAGATCTCCCCCACCCACCCCAACAAAAAAAAACACACACACACACACCAGCAAAAGCAAAGGAAGCTGAGCCAGAGGGCAGTACTCTAAAGGTAAGTTTCAAAAAAATTTGATTTTTAACCTTTTTAGTTTGTTTTCTTAGGATGCCAAATGAGACTAACCTTCATAAAAGAATTGTGAGTTAGAACATGGTGCTTTTTGTTAGATTGTAGACCAACCAGTGTGCAGAATATCCTTGACTGCTTTGGGCACGGGAGTGTTTGGCAGCGCAGACTTCCAATAATCCTCAGGATCAGGAGGTAGAGCTGCATGGCTAGCCACCAATGCCAACTGATAAAAAAAACAAAAAAAAAAAAGCAAATGAATTAAAAAGCCTATTTAATTCCTTATGCATCTCATTATGTTCTATGCATGAATTTAGGAATGAGTGAACATATATTACAAACAAACACATAGATTCCTCGGGAAAAAAAGCCTATTTAATTCCTGGGATTCTGGAATATTTATACTCACACAAAGAAATGTGAAGATGGGTAGGAGATGAAACTCGATTAAAATTATCGGATTCTACAACAGAAAATTGTGATAATGATATGAAATGGAGGGAAACAGGGAATTAAACCAAAGCCTGCTAGTTGCAGTGAAGGAAGAGAACAGGGTTGTTGCCATATTTATTGGCGAGTGTTAAAGGTTTGTTTGGATGGCGGGATATGTTCGGGTTTGGACTATCCCAACTTATGAAGTAGGGGAATAATTTGGGCAGGTTGGACAATCAACCCTCACTCAACTATAGGTATATAATATTCAACTCTAACCCTAACTTTAACCCTACCTCGGATTGGGAAACTTAACCCGAACACTGACCGAGTTTAATTCGGACGGACTCGGGTTGAATTCGAGTTGATTATTTCGGGTTATTTTACAAGTTCAATTCGGGTAGAGCCCAAAATAAGCTTGTTGTTCTAAACTTAATACATATATTACATAATATTTACCTAAATTAACAACCAATAACTTCAACCAAGTTTTTAACGCGAGAGACAAAGAGAATGAGAGAGACAGAGAACGATAGAACAAAAATGAAAAATCAGTGCTAATGTTTTATATATATATATAATTTTTTTTTAATTTATCGAGTTTGGGTTAAACTCGGGTTCACAAGGCCTTAACCCGAACCCGAACCCAACCCAAATTGAATTCGGATTTAGATTTTTTGACGCAAGTCAAACTCAAGTATTAAAAATCCTTGCTCAAACCCTAATTTTTTTGAGTTGGACTCAGGTTGAAATCAAGTTGCACAATCAAAGTTGCACCCCTATTATGAAGCACCAATAATTCCTTTATCCTGACGTATTCATATCGAATGCCACCATTCATACTTAATAATTAATAATTTATTTTTCTATTTCTAGATACTTCTAAAATATGAGTGCAGAAAATACGTATATTTGTGCACATTAAGCATGTTAAAATGAGATAAATTTTTTTAAAAAAATATATTAATCATATCCGTATATTTCTAAGGGTTTACAATAACATTATATCGGTATTATATTATATCCGTATCTTGTATGCTCCCATCCGGCCTCCAATTACAGTGCTTTTCCTTTCATCTCTTGTTTGGAAATAGGAATAGATAAGCAGTGGACCCAATCTCATCCCATCCAATCTCTTCTCTGGATGGAATATTTCTTCATGATACGTAGATCCACATTTCACTAATTAAACCATCGTTATTTGCATTCCAACTGCCCAATGCGAAACTTAGGGTTTTTCGCACTTTCATATTGTGAAAAGTTTTAAGATTATTATTTTGTACTTTTAAAAATTAAATATTTTACATCATACCATTAATGTATCAAAAATATTACAATATGACTTTTCTATTAGCTTTCTGTTAATTTTTTTGTTAGTGTTAGTGTCAATGAGTTGACTTTTAATAGAAGAGTAATACTATTTGAATTTAAAAATTTGACATAATTTGTTGACATAATAATATGGATTTAGTGGAACCATTAGATTAATACCAATGTTTGATGGGACTTACGATCAATCCAAAGGTTATAATGAATTAAATTACTAAATTAGATTCTAATAGCATTACTCATAACAAAAATACTGAAAAAAAAAATAATAGAATCTAACAGAAGACACCTATGACCTACATTGATAGTGTAAATTTAGGATTGATGTCTGTTATCAGTGGGAAACAATTCAAGTAGTTTGGTTATGGCAACGAAGTGGATTGATGTTGAAGACACGAGCCAAGGGTGTTTGATTTGAGACAGGAATCTTCCTTCTTTTTTTTTTTTTGCTATTTGAGACAGGAATCTTGAGATACAGTGTGAAAATACACATTGGATCCTTTTAGGAGTTTGGTGTGCTGCTAAAATATTGTGCGCAAGTGGATTGTTTGTTGGAGCTTTCATGTGATCTTGCATTACTATGTGTTATTACATTTAAAAGTTTTGAGTTCGAATTTTGACATATTTTTAAAGTTACGTTATGACAAGTTTATTTTTTATGAATATTCTAATTTTAGCGTGCATGGTATACTTTTAATTAAATAGGGTAGGGTAGGGTAAGGCGAACACCCAAAACATATAAATTTTCGACACGTTTTTATAGAATGAAGGTGGATTAAAAATAGAATGCACATTGTTATTCCAAAGTTTAGAAACAATCAGGATTAATTATTGGAATAGAATTAAAAATCAAGTATGTATTTTGATAAATCAACCTTTTGTTAACTTAAATTAAATTAAATTTAATCAGAATACTCCTGATAACATTAAAAGAATATAATGATTTAATTTGATGAGTTCAATGCATTGTTATTAAATAATATAAAATTTAAAAATTTAGTACTTGATGAGGAAAAGTTTGATAAGCACCCTCCAATTGCTAGGTTGGCTTTCTTTCTTCTTCCAATAACACTTGAACTTGTCCCAGCATCTGCACTAGCCCCTGCATTCGTCCCAGTACCTGTACTAGCCCCTGCACTTGTCCCAGCACTTCCACTAGACCTTGCACTTGTCCCAACACTCGCACCAAATCTCCCACCAACTGGACTTCTCACAACAATTCTACAACTTCTCTTGTTATGTCCTTTTTCACCATATTTTTCACACCTTAAAGAATTCTGGAACTTTTTTAGTTTATTAAGATTTGAATTGGTTTGTTTTTCTGGTTCCTTTTTTTCTTAGTGTCTTTGGCCTCCCTGGTTATTAATGGTAAAATGGAGGTAAAGGGATAGTATCGGTGGATGTAGGCCCTAAATTTTGTCCATATATGACACTAATGCTGTTCCTATAAGCCCTCATTTATGGGATTAATGTTGTTCCCATAAGCTAGTTATGCTCGTACTTCTCAGGTTCAATCTTTTTGTATGTAATAACCTGAATGGTATGGGCTCATGGAATGCCACTCAAATCCCATTTTCTTGTTTTTCTCTAGAATTTCTTGAATTTTGAGACATATTTCAACTTCCCACTTTGCCATTACATCTCTCATCACTTAATCTCTTCATAAGGAGACCCCCAATTCTTTCCAACATTGATATGATTGGTTTGTTTCTAGCCCCAAGTATGTAAGCATTGAAGCACTCACACATATTGTTAAGTAATGAGTCATATTTAGGATGTGTGCTAAAATGTGACCTAGAACAGTGTTTTGGATGTTTATCATCAAACCATGCACATGCCTCTGGATCTTTAGCTTTCATTTTTTCTACATGGCTATTGACTCCTTTAGTAACACCACTTGCATTTACTTAACAATACTCTAGCAAAATTGGTCCATTACTACAATCTATCCTCAGGACTTCAGTAATCTAACTTTGTTATAATTTATTCACATCATCTTCATTAATCTCCTTAATTATAACTAAATGTATCTTCCCAAATCCTATATCATCTACTTCTGAGAAGTCTTGGCCATCAAGAACATCTTCGATTGTTTGATGTTCTATGTACACTTCAACCATAGTGTTGGGGTACTAGCTATTCAAAACTGTGAATACTTTTGTATCGTAATACAAGTAAATTAACCTAGTATATCCAAGTCCTTTCTTGGTATACAATAATGATAACTCAGAATTTTCCCCTCATATCCTAATTGTCTAGCCATTTCGTCAAGTTCCAACAATGATATGTAATCTAGGTGTTTATGGCGGAAGTAGTCAACCTTTCCCCAATCATAAGCCATCTTTGGGTTCTTTCTAAATTCACCATCATGGTGCATTATCAAAGTAAAATATTTGGAACCTGTCTCTACAACACAACAAAAATTAGGGGACTACATGTCACTAAAAATAGGTAATTTTATAGTAGTGCATAAGGACCCACTACACCAACACAAAAAAAATAAACAATAAATTTTTACCTTAATCTGTAATATCGTCTTCAAATTGGTACTCATTGAGCCTTCTGGCCATTGTTGTCAACCTTCAATTCTCCGATGACGACGCACCCTAATTTTTCCAATTTCTCCAATTTGATTTTGAACCCTAAATGTGTTCAAGCTACTCACTTCGGCCTCGTTTGGAGTGAAGATCTGAAATTGAGGACTAAATTAACTAAATTGGTACTTTAGGGACAAAATTTTAATAAGTGACAAATTTTAGGGGCCATTGGTATAATTTACTTCTAAATTTTTCTTTAAAATCAAAATGTTTTTTCTTAAATTCACAATTACAATATAAATCTTGAGTACAGATATACTTGCAAATAAAGTACATCAGTAAAAACCGAGTTACACTATCAAGATGGGCTACAACTATAGTACCAAAAATTAACCTCCACTTTTCATTCACTAAAAATGTCAAATATGATACGTCTAAAGTTTTTTTTTTTAATTTTATTATCGTTCAGTACTTTGATTTTTTTTTTCTCAAACAATGGTTGCAAATCATTCAAGCAAAATAAAAATAAAAAATAAAAAAAATCTAGGTGAATTTCGATATGGTACCGAATTGATAACTTACCTTATCCTTAAGATGGATGTGAACCCAAGAACTGTAAGTTTGTATCTCATTTGTGCCTCAATCCTATTTCGATCACTTTATTAGAACATTTCCAACCATGACTCAAATTTAAACTCAAATTTGAGTAAAAAACATATCCAATTGATAAACTCAAATATCTACTCAATTTTTAAAAAAATATTCTCTTATTGTCTCAAAACTGATTTTTTAATATCATTTAAATCATAAAATTTGATCAAATAAATGAAACTTTCATATTTCTCCTCAAATGAATAATTAAAAATTTTTTGAATATGGATACAACAATACCATCTAGGAATAAAAGGAAAGAAAAAAAATTATTCTAGAATTCTCAAATTGTTCTAATTCCTTATCTTCTTCTATAAATTCAGATAAAAAAAAGAAAAAAAAATAATTACTTTGACATAGGTTTGATCTAAAAAAATACAAAAAATAGATCATTTTCAACGAAAATTGATGATTGAAGAAATAAAATAACTAATAGCATGTTTGGTTTGCATCTCAAAAAAGAGTATCTGAAAATTATTTTTGGGAAAAGTTTTAAAAAAGTATTTTTAAAAATTTTTAGATTTCAAAACCTGTTTGGTTATGTATTTTTGAAAATAGTTTTAAAGAACAAAAATTATTAAATTTGTGTGCACAATAATCCATAATTCCAACCTCTCTTCAACTCTCTGTCTCTCTTTCTTTCACTGTGCATCAAGACCACTACCAAAACCCACAAAGCGCTGAAACCGACAACCACCCAAAATCGACAACCACCACCAACCCACAACTACCACCCAAAACCCATAACCACCGCCGAAACCCACAACCCCCACCTGTGTCTTGAACCCAGATGTAGAAAAAAAAAGACATCGGAAAAGACGGAGAAGACGCAAGAAATCATCGGAATTCTTGAACCTAGATCGTTGGTGTGTTTTGTTTGAATTTACCGAAGTTGACAGAGAAATGGTCTGTGTTTCATCTGGACAGTGTTGTTGCAGAGAGAGAGAGTGGAGATGGAGAAAGATGCACGTGAAGGGCTTTTATACTTCAACCAAAAAAAATTTATTTTGCTGCTAAACAAGTTTGATGGGTGAACCTTATTAAAGAGGAGGGGTTGTTTCCCCTTCTTTTCTATTTTAGCCTGAAAATTCATAAAACATCATTTTGTTGTTCTTTAAAATCACATATCAATTTCTAAAATTTTTCAAAAACTTGGATAACAAAAAAGCTAAACAAACAAGTTTTTGGAGTTTTTGAAATTTTGAGAACAAAAAAAAATTTTTTGGAAAGCAAACCAAACACATCCTAATTTTCTAAATTTGTGAATAGTGAAGACTTGAAATTTAGTAAGAATCGGTGAATTGAAATTGCACTACTAACATTA